TTCCAATAATCTTTTATTTTTTTTAACCAAACACGATAATCTTACATTCATGCTAAATCAACCAAACACAAAATACAACATTCTCAGTAATCTTATTCCTGATAATCTTACATTCTCACTGGTAATCTTATATTTCGTGAATCAAACACACTCTTAATCTTAAATCACAAGTGAGATCATATATATATATATAAGGCACCGTTTGGATTGGATTTAATTTTTCATTTCAAATATAGATAGTAGACTTTAAGATAAGACAGATTGGCTAAGGTCAAATGTAATATAGTTTTAAGTACTAAGTTGTTGTCGTACTAGAAATCATTGTTGTATAATATCCAAAATCACTATATGTACACATGTATCATATATCTTAACTTCAATTATTCAATAATAAATGTAAATTTTTTTAACCTAGATGATTTCAAAGTAATATTTACTCTAAACACTCTCAATCATTTGACAAGGAACGTTCAATCACCTCTGTTGTAATCGCTAGTACCCGAACATGTGAGTTCTAAGAATAACAACGATTCCTTTGATCACTAAAACAAATTGATTCGTGCATAACAAATATAAATCTAAAAGAGTTATACTTAAACAATTGCAAATGTCAACTATTCAATCAACATGACATTTTATTCCTTTACATGCTTGTAAGTTAACTAGTTTTTTTAACAGTTTCTATCCATTGATCGAGAAGAAAATTTTACTCATAAAATGTATTGAACTCATAGCTTAAATAAAAGGGGTATCAACTACAAATTTCTAACCACGTACTCTATACATTGTTGATATATGATTAATTATTAATTTGGAGAAAAGGAAAACAATTTAAAATGCACTAAAGTTAAAATAATCAAGTTGCCTAAAAAAATTAGCATAAGATAGCATGGAAAAAGGGAAATGTAACATCCTCAATACCGGGTCAGTGATCAAATTGTAAAGTTACAGAAATTGGTGATTAAAGTAGGATAATTGAATAGTTCAACGATTTATTGGAAATATGATGAAGGTTATTTAGTAATTATTGAAGGAATTAAAGGGTAAAATGGTCAATTGACTAGTAAGATTTTTATTTTCCTTTTATAAGAAAATGAACCACGTGGGAAAGGAGGGAATTATCCAGAGTTTTCTTTCTTCTTCTTCCTTCTCTCGTATCTCTAAGCTCAAAGGTGAGTTTCTTTGTTTATGGATTAATTGTTGATTTTAAGATTGGGTTTTGATTATGAGATGATAACTAAACTTAAGGAAAGCTTAAGTTATCTTAAAATCAAAAGATAAAGGAGTTAGGGGAAAGATAAAGGATTGGAATTGACTAGTGAGGCCAGGTGAGTGCATACAAGTTAGTTTATGATGTTTAATGGAAATAAGACTTGCGATAAGTCTACTTCCTATATTAGAAGGCATGAATGTATGATCATATGCATATGTTTGATTTGGGTATATGTGATATATATTATAGTATGTATTAAATGATTTGTGTGAATACATGTAGTGTGATAAGTTATAGGAATTAATATGATTGATCTATATGATTACATGGGAATGTGAAATAGGTTATATGATAGGTGACCATACATGTTACCTAGTAAATGTGATCAATAATAAGAATCAATATAATTGATTTATATGACTACATGAGAAGGGTGATGAGTTAAATAAGATTAGATTATAGAATAATATATTAGTGAAGGGAATTGAATATAAATGATGATGCCAAACTATAAGATAAGTGTTATAGAGAAGAAGTATACTTAAAGAGAATTATGGTATAGGAGTTTTGTAAAATTTAACTAAACAAATAGATTAAACTGGTATAAATGGAAAATGAGATAAGTTAGGTAGCATTTACCTATGAGATAAAATAAGATTATATGAATAAGTAACATAAATGACATAAGGAAAACTTATGTGTTATATGATTTAAGCATTGAAATGAACATAAGATATATATTCATTTGAATTTATTCGGTGATATGAGTATATGACATTACTATACGGTTTAGATGAAATACTATACATGAATAAATGTTTTTTGAATCAAGTGGTTTGTATTATCTTTTGGTTTTAGCTAAATAGTATTTTAAATGCAATGTTTTGATTTCAGTGCTATGAAAATATATATTCTATGTGAAATACTATAAGTATATGATCTATGTGATAATGTTCAATGGGAATAAATGATAAATTGAATATTGTTATATGAAGCACTATGCGTATATGTTCTATGTGAATAAACGCTATAGGAAATGCTATGAGTAATTGATTTATGTGAATAAATGATCAATTTGAGTAATGTTATTTGAAATATTATATGTTATATGAATATAAATGAGTTTGAATATGAGTATGTAAGTTAAGAATAAGAAAGGGGTGATATATGAAGTAATTAAGCTGAAAAGAGTGGATTTTCGGGCATAAATTAGAATTATGGGCTATGTGCATCGATGCACATTCAATGTGCACCGATGCATCAAGGGTAAATCCCAGAAATTGTTCAAGGTGTATCGATGCACCTGAAGTGCATCGATGCACTCTTCTAAAATACGAACATCGAATGCCATCAGTGCATCGATGCACCCCCTTAAATGTAAACATCGAATATGATTTTTGCATCGATGCAGGGTGTGGTGCATCAATGCATACCTTCATTAAAAGATGAAAATGGCTCTTCTTTTAGCCCAAGAAATGATAGTTTATAATATATTAATAAATATATTGATTAGTATCAATGAATTACTATGTAGATTTAGAGCCTAAACAAGTTCCGGAACTTGGCAAATAAGATCGATCAAGGAAAAGATAACAGATCGATATTGACTAGTGAGACCAGACGAGTACATGATATTAAGTGTACATGATGTTTATGGAATTAAGACTTGCGATGAGTCTAATTCCGATAATAGATGACATGAGTACAATAATATAAGTATAGTATGATATGATGTTTAAGAGTATATGAGCATGATCCTGTAATAATATGGTGCTAGAAGTATATGAGTAAATGCATAGGTTTAATTGTCGAATGTATCTTTATATGTGAACCTTGTGAATGCATGTATGCGTGATAATATGTTATATGATCATAAGAGATAAGATATATGATAAAATATATGTGAAAGTGATATGACTCATATGTGTTTCTATGAGAACGTTACACGATATGCTATGTGTGTTATATGAGCTATGTGGAAAAAAATAATATAAGTACAAGTGGAAAGTTATGTGATACGTGAATGTATATTTCATGGAAAAATGCTACGTGAAAGTAAACTACGTGACTATGTGATATGAATATGTGAATATGTAATGAGGTAAAAGATAATGCCCATGACATGTGTTATGAGAGCTATAGGTATAGTTGGCATGCCAAGAATCGAGGGTCTACGCGGTCCTTTGGGACATAGTGGTCCTTCGGGATATATGTGTTATAAGTGGTCCTTCGGGACATCTATGTGGTCCTTCGGGACAAATTCTACGCGCCCCTAGTGGGAATTATACGAGCTGTGGTGACAACATAGTGCACAACCTCTATGTACTCACATACCTTAAGTTCTCAGTATTGTACATGGGCTAACCAAAAAGATAACGATAAAATGTGAGTTGCAATGAGAAATGTGTTGCATGTTTTATATGATGATATATGTGAATGTGTGTATATGTTACAGGAAAGAATGTGTGTAATGGGTTATGGCATTTGTTATGGGATGTACATGAATATATGTTAAGGTATATATATGAATGAATATAAAGGACTTATATGATGATGTAAGAACATGTTATAAGATATAGAATATGAAAATAAGAGATCATATGAACAAGAGATAAGAGATAGAAAGGATAATCATATAAGAGTATGAGAAAATATAAATGGTGACATGCATACGTGTATGTAATTGTTACATGAAAAAGTATGTATACCAGTATGACGTTGTATTACATGATATGTACATGCATTTGATAATTTACATATGTATTTATATATCTCACTAAGTATATGACTTAGCGTGTGAGTGTTTCACACGTAGGTACATGAAAGCAGGAAGAGAAGCTAAGAGGAGCAAGACATGTTAGTTTCTCCTTACCGAAGGTCAGATCAGAACCTAAATGAATAACATGTATTTTGTTATATATAGAATTTAGTTGGCATGTAATTAAAAGATTTGTATTAGATACGCTCTGATCAGTTTTGTAAAAGCATATGTTTTATATCATAGAAAATAAATGGTTTTATTAGAAATATCAAACTGAATCTTGGGTATTTTGTAAAAATAAATGTTTTAAGTAGTCAATGTGACACCTCAGACTCGTATCCGGGTCGGGTACGAGTTGGGGGTGTTACAGGAAATCACTTAATTTGCTTCACAGTCTTGCTAGGTTAATGAGAATTAACAACGTCGATTAAGAATGTGAAAGAGCCAACAACTCATATTAGCAAACCAAATTACCAAGATTAGCACCAAACTTAAATGTGGATAATGACTCAGTTGAACGTGCATGCTAGCTAGCATTAGCACTAGCATTACCAACCTTAAATTATTTGCGTTTGGTACTCTTCCTCAACCAAAGTGGAGTCATAATTCCATTACGATACATTTCCCCATGGACCAATTTCACCACCTTCTGCATTTATAAGACTTTGGACCCATTTTTTTGTTTGTTTTTCTGATATAAATTTTGCCTCTTTCTTCACTCAAAATCATTTCATTAAATACGTAAGAGATGGAGAAATAGAAGGATTTATGAGCTTTTAAAGCTTTTAACCTCAACATGCAATTAATTCATCAACTTTTCTGTTTGTCATTTGCTTTTTCCCCCTCCCTTCTTATTAAGTCAAACCTTATTCAATAGGTACAAAAATAAATAAAATGAAATACATATGTATTTGGTTTAAGGATGAAATTATTTAGATATAATTATTGTAGCTGCAGAAACAAATATTCTCACTTAGTTGTTATTTATATATATAGTATATTATTATATACAAAACGTCCCATCTCTCTCTCTCTGGTGATACATTATACATGTACAAGAAACGCCCTCAAAAAGCCAGAAAACATCTCATTTTCCCTGCTTGTCAAACCCAGTTTCTAGACGAAAAAGATTTGGGTTTTCTTTCTTTCTTATATTGAGGATTCATCCATGGATACTGCTCAATGGCCACAGGTAGAGAGATCCATTCTTTATCGAACTTTTTTTTTTGGCTTTCTTCGAAAGAATAATTTAGAGTCAATTGTGTGTTTATTGGGTACTTTTGCAAAAGATGATAGTGTTCTTATGGTGTAAAAGAAAAAGAAAAAGATGGTTTTCTTGGCTGTGGATTATAGTTGAAGTCCCCACTCATTTGGATTTAGTTTTTGATCAGTTCTTCTACATGTTTTCTTTACTTTAGCTTTATCGATATGAGATAAAGCAAAAGAGAACCCTTTTTTAATTAGATTTTCTTTTTTTGAAACAATCTTGGAAAGTGTAAATCAGACTACCAGTTAACTAGTTTAGTTTTTCTGTTTGTCTGCAACCTTGTTTTGATCTTAAGTTATTGATTTCGCTTTGTGGTGTTGTTTTTTTGTGTGTGTTTTTTGTAGGAGATTGTGGTGAGACCAATAGAAGAGATAGTGACGAATACATGTCCAAAACCAGCAGGTTTGGAGAGGAAAATAAGGCCTCAAAAGGAACAAGCTTTGAACTGTCCGAGGTGCAGCTCGACCAACACCAAATTCTGCTATTACAACAACTACAGCCTCACTCAACCTAGGTACTTTTGCAAGACTTGTCGGAGGTACTGGACCGAAGGCGGTTCGCTTAGAAGCATCCCCGTTGGCGGTGGTTCCAGAAAGAACAAGAGACCATTATCTTCTTCTTATATTCCTTCTTCTTCTTCTTCCAAAAACCCTAAGATCCATGATGGGAAAGATCTCAATCTATCTTTCCCTGTTGCAGCTATTCAACGCTATGGGAATATATCTGAATTGGTTCAGGTTCCAAATGGCTTAGAAAACAATAATAATAAGAACCAAATTCATGGTTCTTCTGCTTCTTCATCCCCTACTATTTCTCAACTTTCGGCAATGGAGTTGCTAACTGGAATCTCTTCCAGGGGGTTTAACTCATTCATTCCCTTGCCTGTTTCAGATCCGAATACGGTTTGTGCATCCGGTTTTCCCATGCAAGACTTTAAACCAACGCTGAATTTCTCCCTGGATGGGCTTGGAACCGCCGGCTACGGTGCTCTCCAGGGGGTTCAAGAGACAACCGGGAGGCTTTTGTTTCCGTTTGAGGATCTAAAGCAAGTCTCTAACACTTCTGACATGGAGCAACAGAAAGAGCAAGGTGATTCGGCTGGTTATTGGACTGGAATGTTAGGTGGAGGATCATGGTAAAGAAGACGAAATTTAATTAATACGGCTCCTTCTTCTTTCTTTCATTTTACTGGGTTTTTTTTCTATAACTCTTGTTGATTTCTTAAGGTGGGTTTCCTTACTAACAGAAGATATACATGGTTTTCCTTTATCTCTCTATATATCCTCCTCCTCCTCCTCCTCCTCCTCCTTCTTTCTTAATTATATAGTGTATCTTGTTTACTATTCAACTATGGTGGGAATTTGAAGCTTTTTTTAAGGTCGGCTTCACTGAAGAAGATAATCTATCAAGCTAAGCCCGGATCTTTTTAGGGTGAATTTGTAGGAGAGAAAGGCATTCATTCTCCTGTATCAAAATCCAGCACAAGGGCAACCCTACTGAATACAAGTATAATTTTCAAGTTTGTAAGGGATTCCTGGTTGGGAAAAAAAGACTTAATTTGTTCATAAAGTTTCCCATTTCGATTTTAGTAAACAAATTGTTGCCTGTTGTTAATAATATTCGAATATGAATCCATTCCGGAAAGTTTAGAAAACGAAGGAAAGTGTTTGGCAGGTAAGAAAATCTGATCCTTCCATATGCAAACTGTAAATTTTAAAGAAACCCTCGACTAAGCAAAGCTACTTAATGTTTTTTTTCCTGGAAAGCTATATACATACGTATATATTAGAAATTTTCCATAAAAGTGATGATTGTTTCAGACTTTCAGTGTCACTGCCACACTTTTTTTTTACGTTTTAGTATTTAAATTTTCAACTTTTTTTTAAAAACAATTTGTTAAAAATTAGTATCTAAATTATTAATTGTAGTCTATTTTAGTACTTAAATTTTAAAAAAATCAAAATTTAACGTAAAATTTTGAACAGTTATACTAAAATGAAATAAAAATTAAACTTTAAATATAATTTTAAAAAATTAAAATTTTAAGTATTAAAACGTATAAAAAATAATAGTTTAGGTATTACAATAGTAACTTAACCTTTTTAAATGAAAGATTGAGAAAGATCTCTGACAAAAGCTCCTTTCTTTCGGTGTCGAAGAAGGGACCCACAAACATTCCCCTCGACAAGTGTGTTGAAGAATAATACACCCCCCCCCACTAGGGCTTTGCAGGATCAATCCAGATCTACACCTTCCACCATTGTTATGGTATGTATGTATGCATGCATGTTATGCACATATGTATGTACGTGTATAATATATGATAAATGTGTATCAACTATCAGGACCGACATAGATCTTATATAAGGAGAACGAAATTGAACTTTAAAAATTTATAAAACGATTTTAAATTTATAAATTTTAGGATGATGATAATATTTTTTAATAAAAAATATTATTTTTTAAAAAATATATAAGAAATTTAAAATTTTAAAGAACGACTAACCCACCTTCCCTTGGTTGATCCATGTGACAAACACCCTTGTGAGTTGGGCTAAGCATAGATGTATGTTTTCATTGCCTAAATTAAACCAGCTCTTCTCTCTCGATTGACTTATTAAATTTTTCGATTTTTTATATAAATTATATATAAAATATTAAAAATAATAATATTTTATTAAATATTTATATCAATTTAAAAAAGTTAACATACATTAATTTCTAAAATTTTAATATCATAATATATTATTTTTTTTACTAAATCTCTATTTTGATCTAAATAACAAGAATGCTTGACAACTAACATTTTTGCCTTAACAAGCGGGAGCTCTACATTCAAATATTTTCCTTGGGCACGGAAACTACTTTTGGAAAAATGTCATAAAATGGAAACAAAGTTAAGATTATGAAAAGATTCCATTTGATCGAGTCGAGTTGAGTTAAGTAAAAAAGTTTCAAATTATTCGAGTTTACGAATTCTATTTTATAATTCGAAGTTGACTTGAAATATTTTCGAGTCAAGTTGAGTTTATAAAATTTGTGTCGAGTCGAGTCAATTTTTCGAGTTTCTATTTAAATTTAATTGTAAATATTTACAATACTATTACATTATTTGATTATAAATTAAATGGTATTTTTTAACCATATACAATACATATATATTTTTTCATATGTGATTTATATATACCATACAAAGTCGAGGGACTCGACTAAAACTTCGACTCAAACTTTAAATATAATTTACTAATTACTAAAAATTTCGAGTTGTATTTTACAACTCGATTTGAACTTGAAATTTTTTCGAGTCGAGTCGATTTTATGAAATTACAACTCGAATTCAATTTGAGTCGAATTCAAAAAATCGATTTTTTGAGTTGAATTTTGTTCACCCCTAAATTCTCGTGTCTTTTTTAAGGTCAAAATATGTTTCAAGTGCTTATATTTTTCATATATTAAGAATTTGATTTTTTATTTTTATAAATTTAATCATTTTACTTTTCGCGTTAAAAAATTTAAACTCAGTTATTAACACAATTAGAATTATATTATTAAGTCCATCTCCATTAAAATGTCATTTTGTTGGTTGCATGGCTTCAAAATTAATATTTTTTTTAATTTCAAAATATCACATCAATAAATTTAATTATAAAAATCTAATGATGTTAATAATTGAACTTGAATTTAGAACATGATCCACCAAGAGCAGGAGCTTTTCCCTGCACTAATTTAGCTTGCGATACAAGTCACTGTGTGCTTCACTCAAAGGTTTGGTGGGCTAAATGAGTGAATCACCCACTGCCCACTTGTGCCTGTCCTTCGATTGTAAGATTGGAATGAAACTTAGTAGTTGAGAAACATCCCATCGCAGCTCGACGATCGGCACTGATTCTGAATACATGACGCTGTGCATGTCGGGGAACTTCACGATCTCCGGCACAAATATGGCCAGTGCATCGAAGAAGGGCATCGGGTTCTGATAATCTGTTGTAAGGGTAGAGAAGGATGACACAGTGAAAAGAATCCAGTGTGCTGCAAAAGGGTCATATAGAGCTTAGATTGAATCCGAGTTATATGAATAGGGATTGTCATCATCTATTCATTTTACACGTTAATCATACAGCGTCTAAGAAATCAAAGGCTGACGGTGGTGTTGCCAACTCTATCCAAGCCTTCCATCAATCTTCTCTTTGCTGACTTGGTTCTGTAACACCATACCTCGAATGCCTCGCTCAAGTCGGGATACTTAACTTGCTTGGTTTCCATCCAATCCGATAGAATATCAGCTTGATCATTAGACGGCAAAGCTAATACTAACGACACGATTGCTCCCTCGATACTCTGGCACAATTCTTCATCCATCTTGTAAGGGAAATCTGTGTACTTGTTGCTTTCCGCATCTAGGAGAGGTTTAATCTTCCTTATATAGGGTAGCCATGTCTTCAGCAATTGGACCCGACAGGGTGCGGGAAGAATCACATTTCCATAGCCGACAGCTTCGAGCACTTTCCCGGTCACTTCTATAAGCTTCAGCTTCATACCCCACATGGCATTATCAAGTTTCTTGTCCTCAATTATCCCCAAAACCTTACCAGACATGTCACCCCAACTACAAACGAAGTCCTTCATTAAATCCATCTTTGGGAGTATGTTACACATCCACTCGACATCCGATAGGCTCTGCAAAATTCTGTTCTCAACAGTCTCAGCCGTGGTATCCGAAACAACAAGCAATGAAGACAATTCATTTTCGAACAATGAACAAACTTCAGTAAGACCTAATTTTATCACTGATTTAACTTCATCTTCGGCTGTAACTAACGGGGTTTCTTCGTCTCCTCCAAGCATGAATTCCACTTGTTCCTGCGCAGATGTCTTGAGCTCATCTCCAAAAGGAGGACAAGATCCACCAATTGACGTGGCAAAGCGAACTGCTGAAATAAACACACTTTTGGTGGCACTTAAATCTACTGGTTGGATCCTTGCCAAAATGGGCATGGCTATCGGCCCCAGTTTCGAAACTGCTTTTATAATTTGTTCCTCTTCCTTATCGTCCCAAGGAACAGCCTCCAGGTACTGGATGCAGCAGTTTGTAACGTCGTCACAACGGAACGAAACTGCCAAGTGTAGAACACCGATAGCAGAATGGACCGAGTCCAGGGAGTCCAAAAGTGAATCAGGGGGAAGATAAAGTAATCTCAAGAGGTTAACATGATGATCATAAGTAGAATCCGAGCACTGAATCTCAGTGCAGGAGCCAAAGTCGGGATGAGAGAGCTGATCTGCAAAGAATCTGCTTTTACTTACGAGAACCGATGAGTGGGAGCAGAACCACTCAGGTCTTCCTTCACCATTTATCAAACGTAAAATAACATCACTTGTACTCTTGTCGCCGAAACTGCAAGGCTTGGCTACTGCAGTTAGGTCCCTGTGCAGAGAGAATGAATATGATTTTCATGTTTTACAGTTCACACAACTGAAAGTACTGCTAAAACCGAAGCTTAGACAGAAACGACATGAATTCGGATATTACCAGAATCAATCAACCGTCCTCCGTCGAAACATGCTTTCTTGCACCAAACAATACACAGTACTACAGTTTAGGTGGATTGTAGGCTCTTTTAGCTATGACTGAGGAGGTAAAACTTACAACTACAGCAACAATTTCAATCAAAATCAATCATTACAAGCACGGAACTGAATAACCCATTTGGATTCGAACCCGAAACCTAAAAATTCATTCTTTTTCATTAAACCAAGGCCTCATTAGCAACACAAGAAATTTTATAGTAGGTTTTCCATGAGGAACCATATCTTCATGGATTATTATTTGTTATCCCAACTCGGCAAAACGTAGAACATGTCTTTCAATGTTTTTCCTAGGAAAACGAGATCCAAAGACAGAATTTTTTACAAGTTCCCAGCATCACAAAATGAGTTAGCACCACCATAAATGCTACACTGTTAAATAACCAAATTAAAACTAATTGATATTACATTAATGGGGAAAAGAAAGACTTCATCAACGATAAATCTAAATTAATTAAAGAATAAAAGTGAGCAGTCTGACCTTTGGAAAGACCCAGATTGCATTAAGAGCTGACATAAATATCTCCCACGTTTGACATAAAACGAATCTGCTCAAGTAAAGAACACCGAACAGCAAGCTCCCTTTGGGGTCTGGTAATGAAATGAAAAACACAGGCAAACCCAAAGCTCCTTTAAGGACTAGCATTCGAAATGACACAACTAACCCTAATGTCTCTATTTTTTGAGTAAACTACTCCAATGATCACTAATATTTGGTTAAGTTTTTGTTTTCTCCACTGATGTTTCAAAAGTCACAAATCGGTTACTAATGTTATCGTTTGTTACAAATTGGTCACTCGCCGTTAACAGGTGTGAAAGAAAACACATGTGGCCTGTTAACAACAGTTAATATGCTTACATGGATAGTATAATTACACAAATAGTCCATGTTATTTATATATACTTTCAATTTGATCATAATTTTAATAAATTAAAATATATTTATTTTTAATTCTTATAAATAATGATATATTTTTATACAAAATAATTAAATGTTTAATACTAACATATTTAAAAAAAATGAAATTTAAAATTTAAAATTAGTTATAAAAAAAATTAACGTTTTTTATTTGTTTTTATAACTAATTTTAAATTTTTGATTTCTTTTTTTAAAGCCGTTGGACTTAAACATTTAATTATTTTGTATAAAAATATATCATTACTTATAAGAATTAAAAATAAATATATTTTAATTTATTAAAACTAGGATCAAATTAAAGAATATATAAATAAAATGAACTATTTGTGTGATTATACCATCCATGTAAGTCTATTAATTGCTATTAACAGGCCATGTGTCTTTTCCGTCACACTTGTTAATGGAGAGTGACCAATTTATAATAAACGATAACGTTAGTGATCGATTTGACTTTTAAAACATCAGTGGTGAGAACAAAAACTTACCCAAACATAAGTGACCATTGGAGTAGTTTACCCTTTTTCTTTTTTTGAGTTAATGTCTCTATGTTAGAACTTGACAAGTGGGCGGGGAATATTGGGTTACTTTACCCTTCGAAGGGCATCCTATTCCTAGTTCAACGAAAACATCGAAGGGCAAAAATGTAATATCATGGAACATTAACCTATGATTGGTGGAGAGATGATGCTATGTTTGTGTTCGATGGATCGGATCATGGAACATTGAACAAGAGCATCAAAAATTCAACAATTTCCCAACTTTATAATCATTTTTTAATGATGGTCATATTTCAAATCAGGGACCTTTTTGAAAGAGGACAGTCATAGGAGGATCAAAGATCAAGATTTGATGTAGATTTTCTCATTAGTTTTGTATCCTCAACTTGTACAAGTTGCAAGGTTATGTATTTGGTAATAAACCCTTGATTTTCTCTCTCTCTCAATTTAGTATTCATTTTTTAATTGAACCGACCATTTGAATTAGATGCCTAAAGATTAGGGAGGCCACTTGCTCAATTTGTAGCTATGATTAACCAATAGCAATCTAGAAAGCTGCCTACATTCCATAGTGAGTGCGACACCGATTGCAACGTTAAGGAAAAAACTAAACCAAGTTGTGTTTTTGTCTGATAATTTTTTTTTTTGTACTTCAGTTTAATTTAAAATTAAAAATAGAAAAAAATAAACGTATTTAAAAATGTTATAAATATATATATAACCGAGAAATATTAAAAAATATTAATATTTTAATTTGTGTGCGTTTAACTGAAAATATTATACTTTTTATAATATTTTCGATTACGCCTATTTTCTATCGTTCCTTAATCTTAAATTGAACTCTCCTCCCTTATACATTCTTTTGTGTAATTGTTTTCACCCTTTCATATTAGTTCACTTCAACAAATTTCACAAATGTAGCTCTCATGGATGAACTGAAGAGATGTAATATTGTTATGATTCACGAGGCCTTTGTGTGATGGTGTCGAATGGTCTGCCAGTGGGCTGCTATTGAAACTGAGCCCAACTTCAATACCTTTCTGAAACTTTCTAGGGTTTTCGACCCTCTCTTTTTCACTTGGGTTTTCAGCTTTATGAAAAGAAATCAAAATCTTTTTGGTTTGAATCGGTTGTGTTATTTGAAAGATGGCGGAAACGTACCTCACATCCGAAAAACCTTCCAATTCGTCGCCGTTGAATCCTCCTTCGCGTATAATCTGCAATGTGTATGTTCTCCTTCCTTCTCATTCCCCAGTTCTTTGTTAAAAGATTGTTCGTCTAATATTTGATAACTTTACACTAATTTTGCACAGTTGCCAGAAGCAATTCTCGCAATACACCTGCCCTCGATGTAATTCCCGTTACTGCTCTCTTCCTTGCTACAAGGTAAACCTCGATTTCTCGCTTTTGTTCTATCCGAAATTGGTATATACATGTTTACTTCGGTTTGAGTTGACAAATTAGTTTTTTTTGTGTGTGTGATTTTATTACAGTCTCACAGTGTTCGCTGTACTGAATCATTTATGCGAGAAAATGTAGTTGACGAACTTCGCCAACTTCAACCTGACGATCAAACCAAACGGAAAATGCTTGAAATTCTGAAACGAGTCCATTCGGACGAAGAAGCCGATCCTTTAGATGCAGATGCTGATGGTATCTTCCCTAATATTTACTTTGATTTGTTGGCTTGCCTCAAATAAGCCTTGATTGAATTAGCCTCTCAATGAATATGTAATTTGATTTCTTCTTTCTATTTGTTGGCAGATTCGACTCTTTCCGACGAGACTATTCAGAAGATTTTATCAGGTAATCTTAGGTTCAAATTCTAAATTTTAATTTCTCAATCATTTTTCTTTTTAGTTCATTCCATGTTACTTTGATCTGCCATACGACTTTTGTGGTCTTTATTGTTTGAACTTAATTTTGTGTTATTTCTTGTGTATAGGAGGTGAGGTTAATATTGATGATTTGTCTCTTGAAGAGAAGAAACGATTCCAAAGAGCTTTGGCATCTGGAGAATTGAGTAAGATGATTGAGCCATGGGAACCTTGGTGGTTGAAGCCTGCTGCTAGAACAATCTGTCTAAGCAGGGATGGAGCACGACTTATACAACATACAGTGTCACCCGAAGATGATCCCGAAAGCAACCAACCAAGTGAAATTCCTCATGGCCCCGAAACTCCACTTCCTTCACTTTGCAAGCTCATTTCTACAGAACCATCTCCGCTTTTAACTGTTCATTTAGTTGACATTCTATATAGTTACTGCTTCACGCTTCGCATGTACAACGGAGATTGGCAATCTGATGCCGTAGGATCAGCAATGGTTGTATTGAGTATATCAAGTGTGTTAGGTCAAGCTGGACAGCCCGAAACCTTGTCGGAAGCTCTGTGTTATTGCTTGGAGCAGACCTGCTCTCCGGCTTACCGGGACATTGGTGGCTTCCAATTTGGATTGACAATTGTTGATGACGTAACAAGCCTACTTTCTCTTGGAGGTCCTGCTTTAGTCTGTATGCTTTGTGATCTACAAAGGATGATTGTGGCTGCCGAAAGGGAATTGAAATCCGAGAAACAAAGAAAGCCTAGAAAATCCGAGATGAAAAACAAGCTGAAGCTTGCTGAAAGGAAGGTTTATTTCATCATGTGTTGGGTTCATGAGCAACCGGGCGAAGCATGGTCTTCTTTAGCAGCCATTGTTAGTGCAGAAAAGAGTTCATTAATGGAATATGGCGGCAATAAAAGTTTTCCCATAACAGAGAAGAATGTAGCAGAAAACAAGGGCAAAGCGTTGATAGAAGAAATGTAATGGTATTATTTGCCAAGTACCCTTCTCAATTTGGGAACGGGAATTTTGTCGTAGGTCACGTATAGTTCTGATGTATATTTCAGTCGTATCTTAAGTCGATCTTAAGTGAGTAATAGCTTGATGGCTTTAAGGTTCCCGTTTTGTGCCGTGGTTATGTCCACCACGAACCTTTTCAACAGATATAAACTGTGTTATGTCCACCACGAACCTTTTCAAGTACATGGGTTCATAAATCATCATTATGATTCTCAGGGATAAGATCGAGGGGGAGTGGATGGATAGTCATTCTCTGAAAATTTAAAATTATTATATATTTTAGAATTTTTTTATATATTTTTTATTAAAAATTTATTTTTACTTATGTGGAATTTTATAAATCCAAGTTTCCCATTCATAAAATATTACATCCGTTTTCAGTTATAGAGCAACACCTGAAGCCGATCAAGTAGGTACCCCTTAATTTAAAACCAGTGTCCTTGACCGAGGAAATAATATCCTGTAGTTGATGGTATAAGTTAATAGTGAATATCATGGTAAAAAAGTAGAAGAACAATTAAAGTCGTTGTAGTATAGTGGTGAGTATTCCCGCCTGTCACGCGGGTGACCCGGGTTCGATCCCCGGCAACGGCGTTGGTGTTTTTAATTTTTTTCTTCATATTTTGTCTGCTTCGACAGATGGTGAGAGAAAAAGGCGGAGTCGCACCAACTTGAGTTGAAACTTAGAACTTAATAACAATATTTTATTATTTTAATTTAGTTGATTTTTAAAAGATTGGTATCACTTGACTCTTAAATCAATTAATATGTTTTATTCGTAGTATTATTTACTCTTTATATCTCTTAGAAATATTAAAATATTAAAAAACAAAAAAAAAACTTCATATTAATATCAATTATAATTTGAAAAGAATTGTATTTTAATTAAATTAGGATCAAGTTAATTTGTGACATTAACTCAATTAATAATTTTATTAATATTTTAATTAAAAATAAAATGAAATAATATATATAATATTTTAAAATTTTAAATATATTCTGAGAATACATATAATTGTCTCATTTTTATTTATAGAAAATTTCCCAATATCATTTAACTTTAAATGAATTTGGAGTGGGACCCATGATTAAAATGGGCATGAGACCCAAACCCGAAGGGTTCCGACATGATCCGACCCAATTGGGTCGAGTTTTTTTAATTCGAGTTTGGGTCGGGCCGGATTTAGATTTATGATGAAAAATATATGATCCCAAAAAAATATAATTTTATCTTATATATTTATAAATAATTATAATAATACCCCTATATATATATATAATTAAATAACTATTTTTATTGAATAAAAATAATATTTTTATTATTTTAGGTCAGATTTAGATTTTTTCTCAAAAAGTCAGCTCGATGGAAATTATATATTTTTTGGGTCAGATCATGTCGAATGAAAAATGTAAATTTTTTTGAGTCGGATTGAATTGGGTTGGACGAAACCTGACCTATGGCCATCCTTACCCGTGATGGCCAAAGCTTGAATGATTGTGGGCCTAAAAGAAAAGAAGAAAAAGAAGTATGATTCCCAACTGGATGTTTCCTTTTTTTCCTCTCCAAAAGATCCGAACTTTATGCTTCGCCACGCTTTCATTCACACTCGTTTCACGGGCCTTTTCTTTCACTTTTCCAATCAAACGCACCGCCACCGCCCCCGCCCCCTCCATGCCAACCTACAAAGAAAAGCAACCGCTACTATTCTTTTTTTATAAACTACTCTTGTGATCGTTTTTGTTCTATTTTAGTTTGATCATCTAACAAGTTGATTGTATCATAAGATTCATTAATTTTGACTCTAATTTTAAATTGGTTTTTTAAATTATATTTTTTGTTTTTAAATATTTTAATTGCATTCTTCAATTACGATTCTCATTTTAATTTTGTTTTTAAACTTTTCAACGTTTTAATTTAATCCTTAAATCGTTATATGCTAATCATATTCATGTTAATTAAATCGTCATAAAAATATTAACTTTCATGTAAGCACCATTATATATTATACGATAATAATATGATATGATATAAATAATAACTAATGTTGAGTTTAAACGAAATAATGTTTAATTTTAAAATGTATAAAGAATTATAAATAAATTGAGAGAACACAAATAAAAATTAGGCTTGATTGTAAAATAAATGTTCACACTATAACGCTTTTCACAAATATATGTCTAAACTATTTTTTGAATAATCTAAGTGTCTAACGTTATAAACGTTAGTGCTCAGGACGCAACGATGGTAATATTCCACTGTTAAGTGACATGTGTCTCCATCAAGTAATTTTGAAAATTTTCTTTTTTAAAAAAGCTTAAAATATATTATTAAAAAAACCCCAAATTTTTAAAAATCTTGAAAACCTCCCCAAAACTCTGAAAACCTTAAATCTAGTCCTTATACTCATGTTCGTCGTCACCCCTGTCGTTGTTGTCGATTGGACTTCCACTTGGTCGTGCCTCCACTGAAGACATGTTCCTCAATGATCAATCGTCATAACAACAGTCGAAGACCCCTAAAATCGTGACAAAAGCTACCTCGACGAATGAGACGGAACGACGATAGTTGTTAGTGTCGGATAAAGCAAGGGAGGTGTCAGAGTTGGTAGTCGTGATCGAAAAATGGAGTTGAAGTTAGGGTTAGGATTTGAGGATTTTTTTAGTAATTTTCTAAAAAAACAGTTTTTATAAATATAATATTTTTATTTTTTAAAATATTTCAAAATTATCAAAGCGTGACACGTGCCTATTGACGGGATTTTTTAACTGTCGTTACATCTCGGACACCTAAAGTAATAATATTTGTAACATTAGACATCTAGATCATTTAAAAAAAATAGTTTAGACACTTATTTATGAAAAACGCTATAATTTAGACACTTATTTTATAATTAAGCCTAAAAACTAAATAACATTTCAACTTTGTTCTAAAAAAAAGATTTAGATACCGTGATTCAATATTAATTATCATTTATGCCACATCATAATATTACATGATACACTAACATTTACATGACAATTAACGATTTTTATAATAGTTTCACTAATAGGTGACACAAATATCACATATTGGTAGTTTAGGATTGAATTAGAGTATTGAAAAGTTGGAGGATTAATTTAAAATGAGAGTCATAGTTTGGGGATGAAATCAAAATATTTAAAAGTTTATGGATCAATTTATAATGCGAGTCATAGATTTGAGGATGAAATTGTAATATCTAAAAAGTATGAGATCAATTTAAAATAAAAGTTATAACTTAAAGATATATGATACAATTAACTCTTATTACTTTGATGACGTGAAAATGGTTAATGTTTAATACGAAATTTAGATAAAATATCTAGTTAACCATTTTTTCGATCGATAATGATATTGAATCGAAGTTATCTATTTTTTTCTCGAATTCACTTTCACATTTCCTCTATTTTTTTCCATTATACCCTAAGAACTTCAATTTTCGCCGTTCATCGTCTATATTTCACCCATTATTATTTGGTATTTGGTGAATCTCTAGTGACTAAGTTTCTACTTAAAAAAATCTAATGTCGGAAAGGTCTATATTGAGATTGAGAGTAATATATCTATGTTTGAATTCCATCAAACAATAAAAAAGAATAAAGAGCAACTAAGTGTTCAACTTTAGATTCGTAGGAGTTTGATGTATTTCCGATTAAATGAACATTAGATTTATGTTTATGAAGATGGAATGAGTTTGTTGGGAAATCTAATATTCATTGTTTATCAAATATAACGATCGACGATTGTTAGTACAATGATACATCATAATGAACGATGGTTATAATATGAGTTCATTCAAATATATAAAGAGAAAAGAATACGAAGAAGGATTAAAAGAACGAAGAAAAACAAAGAAAAAAGGAAAAGAAAATGGGTTTTATTTAGATTTAAAATGATACCGTTTTGAATGAACTCATTTTAAATGACCAAATTATTTAAAATGACTAAAATACACCAATGTTAAATTTGAATAATTAAATTGTTTTTTAAGTTTAATGACCAAATTAAAAATAATATTAAAATTGAGTGATGAAATTCATAGTTTAGCCTTATAAGTTAAAAGAAATATAAAAGCATACTATAATTTTCCAATATACAAAGAGAGAAATATTACATGGCAGCGAAGACATAGTACATCTCTCATACTATAACGACCCAACTTTCTTATCACGTGAACCGGAAATTAGAAATCGGATCCTTTTAAAAGACTCCTACCTCAGGACACACGCTCCTATATATGCGCGTGTGATTCCTCCACTCCCTTTTCCTCCCGTACATGCCGTTGCCGATAATGATAGATACTTCCTTTCATGTCTTTTTGTTTTCCCCTTTTACATAAATTTACTTGTTAAGCTCTTTTAAATCTCTAAGACTTCAATTTTTTCAGTGATTAGGAATCTCTTGCTGTCTCAGAAATCCAGAAATCTCTTGAAAAACCTAAATAATTAGGGGAATTACAATGCGGATAGCTTTATGCGGGGAGAATCCGGGATTGGTATAAACATGAAGAGAAGACTGAATCCAGGGAGGAATAGGAGCCGTGTGGAATTGAAATCTCGGGAAACCGAGGAAGATATGCGTTTGGTCATGGCCTTCGGATGCCGGTTCCGATTCATACTGTATAGCTTGTGAGGCATTCTCTGAAAAACAACAGCAGATTCTCTCGTCTTCCTCTTCTTCGTATCTGATCGGAATATATTTTGATCTCTAATAGCGTTTTCTGCCCCCTTTTCCGTTTATTTTGGAGTTTTTTCTTTTTTTTCTTTTTTGTGGATTCTCTTTTGGCCGTTGTTGTTGGAATTGTCGATCGGGTGGCGGCCTAGGTTTGTTCCTTGTACATAAAAAAAAGACAATGGAGGTGGCTGATGACGGTGATTTCACTGAGAAAGATCCCTCGGGTCGGTATGTTCGGGTATGTTTTCTGGCTCCGAATCCTGTTTTCGTTAATATATATTGTTCGTTTTCTCTTTGTTGGGGACTTGGGGTTACTTGGTATCTGTTTGGTTGCCAAGAAATTTGGAGGACATTGCGAGACTTTTATATAATAATCAAATACTGCTTACTGTTTAGGCATACTTTTGTCTGAAAAATATT